AACTTACCACAGAACTTAAATTTCTACCTTGTTTCTTCAGGGTGAGCTCATTTCAATAATCAGTAGGTTACCTACAGGCTGGGCAATTCAACACACTTTCAACAGGACACTAGAGATCAATGTTACTCTATATGGAGATATTTCAAAAAAGATAAGAATGGCCATCTTTAGGCAGAGATACTCAGACTTGTAATAATGAGACTTTTGTAGTAGGAAATTGAGCTCAGATGTTGGAAATAGGTATTCAAATCTGTCACAAGAAAGAAACAGACTAGGCTGTAAGGAATAGCTGGCAGTTTCAGTAAAAATACACTCTTCCCTTCCACCCCCCACCCCCCAAATAAGAACCTGAGTTTGGTCAAAAGCCCACAAAACTTTATAGTCTTTACGTAATCTAAATTTCAATGTTTTTAAAAGGTCTTATTTATCTGAGAGAGTGCGCGTGCATAAGTAGGGGGAGCGGCAGGCAGAGGGAGAGGGAAGAGCAGGCCCCCCTGCTGAGCAGGGAGCCTGATGCAGGACTCAATTCCAGAACCCGGGGATCATGACCTGAGCCAAAGGCAGCCACTTAGCCAACCGAGCCAGCCAGGCGCCCCCTAAATCTCAATTTTAAATAGATTTTTATATATAAACTGTTTGGGTCTGGAATTTGGTACAAAGGGTAGACAAATAGAGCTCAGTTTTGTTCCTAACTTCTTTCATCAGGAGAATGAGATGCCGTGCATTGAGAGAGTTTTGGAAGGCATGACTGCAAGTAGCAACACATTAACAACAGGCACAATCTTTTCATCAGCAAGAAGCTGAGTTTTGACCTTCACGTTTTCCATGTGTACTACTGAGTGCGGTGGTCCCATCCTAAGCTTCAGCTCTAATCAGTCATCAAAGGGAAGGCATTACCTTGCATATTCAGCCGGCCACCAATAGCTTTAATTATATTATGGTCAGTCAATTGGCAGTTTTACTGAAACACTAATAAAAAAGCATTGGTTATTCATGTCAGTTGAGATACAGAAGTAATAGGTGAAAAATGATTTTACATAAATTTTGGTAGACCTAGAAAACAATTTCAGGGTTTTTTTGTCCATGAACATTAGCATTTTAGTTTAAGGAGCTAGTTGAATCATGTGCTGTTCCTTTCTGTAAGAAGAAATTTTGAGTTCAAAAGGATGAACTTTCATTCAGAAACTTGTTTTTGCCCCACTTTCCTTCCCAGTCTGCAGTAAGATACGGTCATCATTCAGTACTGGTATGATGCAACTTAGATACATCAAAAGATACATCAAAATTGCTGTGTAGGACTTAAGTCAGAGCCCTGTGGTGGTGTCTCTGAAAAGACTAGTTTTTTTATACTATTAAGGTTTTTTGTTGTTTTAAAAGACTCCCAGATGGGGCGCCCGGGTGACTCAGTTGGTTAAGCGGCTGCCTTCGACTCAGGTCATGATGTCACGGTGCTGGGGTTCAGTTCCGCCGAGAGCCTGCTCCTCCCTCTGCCTGCCACTCGCCCTGCTTGTGCACTCTCTCTCTGTCAAATAAATAAAAAATCCTTAAAAAAAAGACTCCCAGAAATCCAAGTTTTCATTTTGTGGAACATGAGCCAAAACTAATTCTGGTTGTTGTGGAAAATTTGTCTCATTTTAATGGTCTATATTACCTCTGGGACCCTGCTGGCCAAACCTGTGTGACCCACAAGGCAAAAATTATAATTGGAGTAATGGTTTTCATATTGTCTGAATTTGTTTTCATTACTAAAGTTTTACAACTTGATTTTTGGAGGTGCTTTGTACTGTGTAAATGAAATTCACTGAAAGTATACATAAATAAACCATAAATTGATTTTTTAATATTAGTTTTGATCATCTGTGTTGTTTTATGAGGTATTTGCTAATCCTCTGTATTTTAGCCGCATGCTCATTTCTCTCATGATTTAAATCTAAAGTTTAACTTCACTGCCATACCTCTGAAATTTTTTTAAAACTTGACTAATGACTAGATAAGATCTACCCCTTCCCACACACCCGTAAGGCACTAATAAAAACAGTGTAAGAGGCAATGTGGTGGGCTACAGCTCCAGCTATATTTGTGATCTTAAGCTTTCCATCTGTATTAGTTACCAGAGGCTGCTAGGCTCTGTAACAAATTACTACAACCTTGGCGGCTTAAAACAACAGAAATTTATTCTCTCTCAATTTTGGAGGCCAGAAATCAGTTTTCCGGGGTCAAATCAAGTGCACTCTCTCAAATCTATTCCTGGAGTCTTCCAGAGCTTCAGGTGGCTGCCAGCTTCCCCTAGCCTGAGTTGTATTGCTCCATAATCTTCAAGGCCAAAATCAAATCTTTCCGATTGTCTTCTCATGGCCTCCTCCCTTGAGCACAGAATCTCCTTCTGCCTCCCTCTTATAAAGACACTTGTGGGGGTGTCTGGGTGGCTCAGGTGGTTAAACACCTGACTCTCAATCTCAGCTCAGGTCTCGATCTCAGTTTTGAGTTCAAGCCCTGCGCTGGGCTTCATGCTGGGCGTAGAGCCTACTTAATAGATTAATTAAATAAAGGCACTTGTGACTAGATCTAGGGCTCAGAGATTATCCAGGATAATCTTCCCATCTTAAGAACCTTGACCTAATCACATCTGCAAAGACCCTTTTCCAAATAAAGTAACACAGGTTTGAAGTTAGGACCTGATTATATTTGGGAGTCATTATTCAGTCTACTATACCATAGGTTTTTTTCTATAAAAAACCACAGAATCTCTGGAACAGTACTGCCAATGAAACTTTCTATAGTAATGGAGATGTTCTGTATCTGTTGTCTAGTACAGTGGCTTCTAGCCAAATGTGACTACTGAGCATCTGAAACGTGGCTAATGCAACTGAGGAGCTGAATTTCTCATTTTATTCAGTTTTGATTTAAACTTAAATGGGGCTGTGACTGATGGCTGTTATATTGGGCAGCACAGTTCTAGTAATCTAGTTTTAAATTCTGGACCCAGGCCCCTTAAAAAAATTTTTTTTTCCATATCGGACTTAAGACTGCTTCCATCTTTCACCTGCTATTGTTTAGTTTAATGGACTTCAAACTTTTTAGCATCAAAACCCTTTCTACAGGGACCCCTGGGTGACTCAGGTAAGCGGCTGCCTTCAGCTCAGGTCGTGATCCCAGGGTTCTAGGATCAAGTCCCACAACGGGCTCCTTGCTCAGTGGAGATCCTGCTTCTCGCTCTGCCTGCTGCTCCCCCTGCTTGTGCTCTCTCTGACAAATAAAATCTTAAAACAAAACTGGAAAACCAAAGTGTAAACTGGGCTGTGCTGGTTGAGGTTTGGCAGTGGGAGAGGGAGGATCCATGGCAGCCGCAGGGTCTCCACCTGTTCACCCAGCCCAGGTTAACTTTTGGGGCCAGGGGCCACCACTAGGACTCGGCGTAGGGGAGCCATTTGAGAGACCAGTGGTTATTCTTGGCAACTGTCTGCCATAACCTTCAGACTTGAACACTTGTAGTTTTACACCTTGAAACAGTAGCTAGAAAAGTCATGTTCTTGGCCCGTTATTACTGGACCACTGTTGATGTAGTGTTTCACGAATTCCTTGTTCTGCCAGAACTTGCTGCAGCCTGTGGAAGCTTTAGGACTCCATTTTTCTTTCCCTTTACCTACTTAGCATTTGAAGTCACCTCATATAGGCATTTTGTTTGACCAACCACCCCCCCCCCCCCCGCCCCCATCCCCCCCCTTGCTAACTAGTTCCAACACTGAGCAAGGAAGCCTCACACGTCTTTACAGTGGAGGACTCTTATCAGTGAATCAGTTGCCAACAGTATACATGGATTTTTGTTCGTTTAGTGACATGTGGCCACAATACCTAGAGCAGTACTTGGCCCATGATACATGCTCTATTTATTGAATGAAAATCAAAGCCAGCATTTTAGTATATAAATACTGAACACCAGCATTGTCATTTTATGACAAGGACCATACAATATTATAAAAAGGGTCCTATAGTACTACCAATGAAATGACATTTACTGAGTGCTTACTATTCACCAGGTAATTACTATGTATAGATTCAACTTAAACTATGATGGTTAGGCAGAAGCTAAGTAACTGGTCTAAGATCACATGGAAGGGTGGGGGCTTGAACCTAGCTTTAGTGTTCTGCTGCTTCTAATAGATGGCTGTAAGCCATTCACTTGAATGCCATATATAATTCAACCCAATATTATTATGAGGCTTAATTATAAATGATACTGCTCCTTGTAGTATACACATGATGGGTTTAGGGCTCAAATACACCAGAATCAATATTACACCGGTTTGATTAGCCCTTAGGAATATGGTGGGAACCAAGGTGGACTTTACTGTAGTAAAGCTGGGGCAGGGCAACCACAAACTAGACTTCTAAATATGACAAGGCTGTTATAGGATGCTAGAGAATTCCAGAACAAGAGCACTTATGGGGGAGGGGGTTAGGGGAGGGATGATAGTGGCCACAGAAAAGTTGGGTAAGAGCAGGAAAGAGTATGGGTGCTAGGGAGCGTTCCTAGGTAAAAGTTACAGCATTCAGAGACCTGGGAGGCCAGAAAGTTACCATTTTACAATAGTGTTAAAATATCCACCTTGGCCCTGTATACAAGGGGTCCTCTTCCCCTTCAGGTCGTTTCTCTGCAGCTTCACTGTGCTTTCCCCCAAACCTTTATACACTTCTCCCTCAGGGCTATTTGTCTTCACTCTGCCTGAAACGTTCTTCACCCAAATGCATACAGACCCATAGCGTCCCTGGTCTTCCCTGGCCAGCCCTCTCTGAGCTCAAGACTCTACTCTCAGCGCATATACATGCGCTTCCTCTTTCCCTTCCCTTTTCTCCCCTCTAGCAATTATGGCCTTCTCACATATTTGCTGAAAAAATCACCGAAAAAAAAGTGACAAGGCAGTGTAATATACAAGTGTAAAATGAAGTTTAGAAAAGACTGGAACAATGTTATGAAATAAGCATCAAGAGTGACTGCAAGGTGAATATTAAATCTTTATTGAAAACTTCTGGAAAATGAGGTATTTGCAGACATTCAGGGCTGGTCAGCATGAACTAGCACATACTAGGCTCTGTTCATCTTGCTTCACTGTCTCGTTTCTTCCCATATGAAAACTTCCCCATCACCTCGAAGATTTTCATATTCTAACAATCTAGCACCCCTGTATGCTTCAAATCCCATCACAGCTCATTATGCTCATTCATCAAAAACACCTAAAATGCCAACAGATGCCCCCTTTGTGCCAAATTTTGGTAACTTCCATAGGTTTGATGTAATTAAATACTATAAAGACCTTATATTCTTAATAGCTCTGCTGTGGTCTCCCCTGACCAAATTGGCCTCATCTGTCTCAATATTACTACAGCTCCACTTGAACATTAAATGCCAAGAGAAGTGACTTTCCAAGAGGTCACATGGCCAGAAAGTTACACAAGGATCCTTGTTCAGGGCTACACATGTGGCGGGACCTTGAGCCAGTACCTAACCTCTTTGTTGCTTCATCTGTAAAACAAGGGAATAGTACCGACCTCAGAGTTGTCAGAACTGAAAGACAAGATGAAGGTAAAACACCTGCTATGCTGCCCGATCACCACCAGCACTGTCCTGCTGCTAAGGCCTGTGAGGGGCACGCTGGACACATGGCTGCTACAAGTTATGGAAGACTATTTGACCTCCTTAGTGTGTACTGTAAACTGTAGAATTGGTATAAGTCAGTAAAAATACCAGCATGAGAATATTCCAGCTTCTGCGGCTTGCACCTGTAGTAGTCAACCTATAAAAAAGAAAAATTTCCGAATGACCTTTCAAGCGGAGAACAATTTTGAGGTATATTCTTTTCAGTTTGTCTCAAAGGATGTCCAGAAAACGCCTTGTGCACATGTGTTCCATCACCTGTGTTTTTTTCCACCTTCAAAGATAAGTATCTCTGAAGGTATCAAAACTAAGGTTAGGTTTAAACTTATCACTGTGCTGGGAACTGTATAAAAATATCACAAAGGGGGTCCTGGGTGGCTCAGTCCCTTAAGCATCTGCCTTGGGCTCAGGTCATGATCCCGGGGTCCTGGGATGGAGCCCTGAGTTGGACTCCCTGCTCAGTGGGGGTCTGCTGCTCCCTCTGCCCCTCCCCCTCCTCCCTCTGCACGTGCTCACCCTCGCTCTCTCGTGCACGTGCTCTCTCAAATAAAATCTTTTAAAAAAAATCACAAAGGTGCTTGAGCAAAAGAAAACTTTCCTCTGGTTCAGCTGTGACTCCAGACAGGATCCAAAGAGGAGTTTTACAATCTCCTCCCTGGGTTTTATGGAGACTTATTTTACCCTTCTGTGTTAGCCTCTTAAGGCACCGCGTCAACCTTAAAAGGGCACAGGAAAGGGCCTTTTGGGATTTTTACAGGGTTCTCTCTACGATCTCTGCACGCCTCCCTCGTCAATATCCCCTGGATCTCAGCGCTTTCCTGAAAACCCACCGGAAGCAGCTGTTGTGCGGGGGGAGCCCGGCAACGTGCATTCCCTCTATCGGAAAGGCCAGACAATTTGGGGCCCCTAGAACCGAACACGTGGGAACCCCGGTCGTCACCGGCCACGTGCTCCCGGCCTGGGTCCTCGCATTCCACCCCAGGACGGGGACCTACCTGCGCGTAGAGCTCGGGCCGCTGCAGCCCCGCACACGTCGGCGACAGACTCCCGGGTCCCCGGGTCGGGCCGGGCTCCCGCAGCCGCAGGCGGGCGGGCCCCGAATCCCCCCGAACCCGCCACAAAGTAGCCGCGGCGGCGCCCTGCGGGAGCACAGCGCGAGGTTATCAGGGCGCCCGGGCCTGGGCGCGGGGAGGCCTCCGGGCGGCCCGGCGCGGCGTCTGTGCCTCGCGCGGCCCCGGGACGAGCTGCGCCGCCCGCCCCCCCGGGCCTCGGAGGACTGCTCTACCCCTCCGTTCTGGCCGCCGGGAGCAGCGGAGCTCGGGGCGGGCAAAGCTCGAGGGGACGCGGGGCGAGCGCAGCCCCAGCCGGGCCCGCAGGCCGGGCGCCCTCCCCGCCGCACCCACCCACACCCACGGCTCACCTCAGCGCGACTCCGGCGGGCGACGCGCGTGCGGCGCAGAGACCCGGACGGCGGCGCGCTGACAAGGGGGCGGTGCGACGGGCAGCCTATCCCCGGCAGCCTCCGGCCGGGGGCGGAGCGGGCCCGGCCATTGGCGCCCGCCGTCCTCGGCCCGCCCAGGTCCTTCGGGCTCTTCCGTGGCTAGAGGACGAGCTAGGCCTGCGCGGAGCATCCTTCTGGGAACCGCCGCAGTCCTGGCGCCTCCCCTTGGCCCTAGTGGTTCTGGTTCTCGCCGGCAAGGTGCCTTCCTCGGGGCCCCTCCTGGGGGCGGGGGGATGGGTCCCGGGTCACTCTAGGGCTGGGCCGCGACCCAGAGATTCCCTTTCCCACAACTAGACCAGTCCGGCATGTGTTTAGAGTCTGACCTGCTGAACCGTCAGCTCAAAGAGAAGCCAGACCTTGTCTCTTTGACCACGCGCACCCAGTGGCCCCTCCTAAATCGGAAAGGACCACTGTTCATTCATTAGCCCAGTTCAGTAAGTCGACCATCATCGGCAGGGGCTTGGGGAGCACCATAAACCTTCCCTAGGTGACAGACTCAAACCTGACAAGTGGAATAAAATCGGAGTATATGCTAAAATGAGAACTTGTATTACAGTCCTAAGAGTTTACCATCTGCTAACAAATTTAGTCTTCAAAGTATCTTTTATCAGACCCACATTTTCTTTTAAAGACTTTCAGAGAGAGAGCATGAGCGGGGAGGAGGGACAGAGGCAGAGGGAGAAGCAGGCTCCCCGCTGAGCAGGGCCCTGGGATCCCAGGCGCCTGGGATCATGACCTGAGCCAAAGGCAGACACTTTACTGACTGGGCCACCCAGGCGTCCCATCAGCCCCACATTTTAAGTGGGGAAACAAACACGCGAAGTAACTTTCCAAGGTGACAGAGTAGCTAGCAAGTGGTGGGTCCAGGATTTCAACCCCAAAAGTCTGAAAGTATAGCCCCCTCAAGACACTATACCACACTGCCTTTCCCCAGGTGTGTGGGGCGGGTAGGGAAAGAAATAGCATTTATATTTGACTGTTTGATCAAGATAGGCCATCTCCCAGGTGGTTGGGGGTCAACAGGCCCAAAGAACATGAAAGCACTTGACCCCTGTTAGGACCCAAAAGCGTAAATGGAATTTAAGGGTGGAGGAGCAGAGTGGCCTGAGATGCGGGTGGATGGGGTCCAGACCAAGCCAGAGGCCCTGGTAGAGTGTGTATTTTATGCTAAGAACAATGCAAAGCCATTTAGGCAGTTTTGGGGAAAGGAAATGATAGGATCTGACGTAGGGTGTGGTTTGGGAGTCATTAAGATGATTTTGCTGAGAAGAAATGGAGTAAATTTTATTAAAAAATCCTGGCAGCCAGCCACTCACTACTTTGTAGATATACATAAGATGAATGTAGAATGGGTTAAAGTGGCAGAGGAAACACCACTTTGCTATCCCTTTACCTTTCTCAGAGTCTTCTAAACATGTCTCTAGTTTTGAATCTGTTCTTGTTATAGTCCCTCTGGAGAGCTGACAGGTGTCCCCTTTCCTTCAGTTATGGCAATGAATGTGGACAAGGTACATGGGAAGAATCTTAGGACAGAGAAGTAAACATCAGCAAAGAGACTAACGTAGAAATTCAACGGCGACCTAGTGGGGTTGGGAGTGGTTGTGCAGAATGCTTTCCTCCCGAACCAAGTGATAAACACTGGAAGAGGTTACAAAAGAATTACAATAGGCGTTCACTTGAACTCAGGAGAAATCCACCTCGGTCTGAACACGTCACACCCCTGGGCAAACGACAACCCAGTTCATTTGAAATGGTAAAAACCATTTGTTTGGAGTAGAGGAAAAATGTCTTCTCAACTATTAAGAAAATAATTAAAATTAATACAGAGGTGATGGAGCAAAATTAACTCATTGTATAACTGCTTTTTGAGTTAAATTCAGGGTAATCTCTATTTGGTATGAAAAATGCTTATAATTCAGTTTAAAGAAAATGGAATCAATTGACCTGATTATTTGAGAGAAATCTGTTCAGCCTGAGAAAATTTAGCTTGACCTAGAGGACCAGGGAGCCAAGTGGAAAAGCACAGGAGACCTGATGGGCAGGTACTGTCTTCATATTTCCCCCAACCCCCGCCTCCGTAAACGGGTACATCTCCCCTGGACCACCATTAAATAAATCCCGGCCCCCGGGCTCCAGGCTCCATTCCTGCTAGCTTCCCTCAGCCTCACAAGCTATCCGTTATCTGGGGGTATTTTTCCCTCTCTGTCTTGTCCCTCGCTTCTCTCTGGCTCTCAGCTTCTCTATGTATATATACTCTATTGCTTTCAACCCGAATAAACTTTCCCTTCATCAAATGTGCCCCCGTCCCTAACAGACCTTCAGGAAGACCATGCCAACATAGGCCTCCATTGTCTCAGTCGGATTCAGCCCTCAGGTCAGCTTTCCTCTTCCCCATTCCCCTGAAACTGCTCTCCGAGGCCACCAGCGACCTCTCAGTGACCAAATCCAGTGCTCTTGATCTTCCCTAGCCTCTCTGTGGCATCGGACATAACTGACCACTCCCTCCTTGATTCCTCCTTCCCTCTGGTTTCTGAGTCTCCACTCATCCCTACTTTTCCTCCTACACCTGTGGCCCTTCCTCTTTTGTCCTCCCCTTTTAAGTGTTGGTTCTGATGACATTCTTTCTCAACTCTCTTCTCTTTTTGCTCCCTACACTCTTGCTGACCAACTTCCCAGGAATGACAATAATAAAAGTCATTTATTGAGCATCAGACACTTTACACATGCCATCCCTAATTCCCAAGACAATTCTGCAAGGCAGATAACAAGACTATTATTAGTAACACTGAATGAGCACTTATGAACAGTCATAGACTTTAGTCTTTTACATAAAAATACTATTATCATCACTTTAGAGATTATAAACTGAGGCCAAGAAAGTCTGAGTGACTATCCCAGACTGCACAACTTACGGCAGAGCTGGGATGCAGTGAAGGACTCCCAGCCTGCCTGCCTTCTCCCACCCCCTCCCCCCTCCCATGCAGAGGCGCTCCCTCAGCCTAAACTGCTCTCTCTCTGGCTTTAAGTACCAAATACCCACAAGTCCTGCACACATCCTCATCTGGAGGACTCAAAATCAGCTCGTCTCAAGCACAGTTCATTCTCTTCTTCCAACCTCACACTTCTCTTCTGTGTCCTCTTGATGAATAACAATTCCTCAGCCCAAATGAGGTCCTCTCTCTGCCTCCTCCTCCCATTCTCAGCATCCTGCCTCCTCACCTCCTTCTATTCAGTCAGTTCTTTCCATAGACCATCCCATGAGTCTTCCCTCTCCTACCCACTCCCTGGTACTTTAGTTCTAGCTCACATCCTCTACTTTCTGGCCCACAGCAGCAGCCTCCACTCAGCCTCCCTGCCTCCATCTTCCCTCCCCTAGTACCCTCCACACTGCTGTCATCTCCACTGGAAATCCTTAAATGGCTCCTCACTGCCACCAGGACCAAGACCAAGTCCTTGTCTATCTTCCTACTTCCTCCCACCCCACACACCGATTATGATCTAGGCCGACTGAACTATTTGTAGTTCCCTGAATGCTCTGGCCAGCACTGTTCTATACAACTCTCTGTCATAATGAAACTGCTCTGTAACGGTGCTGTCCAGTATGGCAGCCCCATGTGGCCAGTCAGTACTTGACATGTGACTAGGACAACGAAGGAACCGATTTTTAATTTTTATTTACCTTTAACTTAAATTGAAATAGTCATATGTGACCGGTAGATACCATATTGCATAGCACAGCAATTTATACCTCAAAGTGTGAGCCAGCAGCATGGACCTCACCTGAAAGCTTGTTAGAAGTAGAGAATCTCAGGCCCCACCCCTGATCTGCTGATTCATAACCTGCGTTTCAACCAAGGTGACTTGCATGCACATTGAAGTTTCAAGAAGCACTGCTCAAAGAGCTCTTTCTTCCTTGCCTTTGCGTGTTCCGATTTCCTTGTCTGGACTGCCTATCACCTCTCCTTTGCTCCCTAACTCCTATTTATCCCTCAAGACTCAGCATCTACAAGCACAACATATTCTTAGTATGATTACCTGGAGGACAGGGTGGATGAGGAGGAGTGAGAAGGAGAAAGAAAATGTCTATGATGAAACCACATGTATCTTGCAATCCCAAGTATCCGTATAACTGTACACTGTATCTATACCCATATATATGCATATATATTATGGTCTCTGTGTCTTCGTGCAAAGATGCTTACTGTCAATGGTGGTTCTCTCAAAGTGGTGGGACTTCATATATTTATTTTCTTTTAAATATTTCTGAATTATCATTGTAAATTCTTTACAATGAATCTATATTATTTATAATCAGAAAATAAAATAATCATCACTTTCATTACAGAAAATAAAAGAAAGCCTCTTTTACCCTTCTGTAAATAGTTGTATGAACATGGTATCAGAACAAAGTAGAGTTGACATTTGAACAATGTGGGGGTTAGAGGCACTGACCCCGGCACAGTCAAAAAGCCACAATAACTTTGGACTCCCCCAAAACTTACCTACTAATAGCCTCCTGTTGACTAGAAGCCTTACCAATAATATTAACAGTCCATTAACATACATTTTGTATGGTATGTGTTTAATACACTGTATTCTTAAAATAAAGCTAGAGAAAAAAGATGTTATTAAGAAAATCGCAAGGAAGAGAAAATAGATTCATAGTATTGTACTATATTTATCAAAAAAAAAAAAATCGCAGCCCTGGGCCATTCAAACCTGTGTTAGTCAAGGGACAACTGTATAACACTTTTCAAAAAGGAGAGCTGACACCTCCCACAGTTAGGGACTCTCACTGAATTAAGGGCCGGGAGCAGCCTGGGCACTGGCCACCACTGCCTGAAATCGGATGAAGAAAACAGCATGATCTCCCTTGTGATGACTTTGGTGCTCTCTCTCATGTCTACGCCGTGTCCCGAAAGACATGATCCTACCACAGTGATGACAGTCTTCTCTCCATCCCCCGTCTGGGTACCTCTCTATGGCTGCAGACTGAAACGGGGGGTCAGGTTAGACTCCTAGGTTAGGGTAGACACCTAGACTCATCAGAGGTAGCTGCAGAGACATTCGGACGCCTTAGATGGCATCTTAGTCGGCCCTCAGGATCAAGGATTTGCTCTCTTAAGAACCGATGTTTTTGTATATTGGCTATTGCGTTCCATTCTTTTCTAAGGTTTGGCAATTTTTTTTCTTCACTGAAGAAAGTGTGACAGTTACCTATAGAGGCTATTTTAAATCCGTGGCAAAATGTGTTCTGCTGAGCTGTGGAATGTAATTTCTGCAAAGACTTAGTGGGCTCAGCTCTGGGCACCAGTGGGCTCCTTCTGTGTAGGGCCACAAAAGCCACCAGTGCAAACACAAAACATTCCACACAGCAGTTCATCTGCAAAAGCAGGGAATAGTGTGAAATTTGGTTAAACAGCAAGGTGAAGAAGGCTTTTTTGGAGAGAGAACTATCTCTTTGGGGTATGATGTAAGCATTCATGCAGTTCTAAAGAAAGCTCAGAACATTTATATTCTTTCTGTTAGAGCAAAGGTGGCTCATCTCAGTGAATGACAGTGTTTTAAATCAGCCTTTTAAACGTGTGCAGTCATATCTATAAGTCTATACCCACCTATCAATCTCCCTGCTGTCAGCACCCATCTGGCCACGTGGTGGGGGCACCAGAGATGTAATGTGACTTGATACCGGGTGCAGCCAGACTTTGGGAGGCCTGAAGCTCAGCTGATTTTAGTGGTCCTTCTTCTGAAAAAGAATGCAAAAACATCTTACTTTTATGAATCTAACAAAAATACGCAACCATGTGAACACACTGTAGAACCCCTCCCAGGCCTGGGACCTAAACTGGACTCTAGTAGCTGCATTATAAACCCACCCGTGCGGCTTGGACACTTGGGGGAAAGGTACGCTCTGGCTCTCCTTCAGTAACATCCCCAGCACTGCGTAGCTAAGGAGAAAATTCCATGTTCATATCACAAAGCCTTCTTGCTGACTCATCAGAATAATGGCCAGCTTTCACCGCACGCCTATTATTATGTGCCAGGCGCTGTTCTAAGTTTTTGACATATATTGCCTCCTTGAAGCCTCACATGAACGCTGAGAAATATCTCATTTTATACATGTAGAAACTGAGACCCCAGACAGGTGATAACTTGCCCCAGAAGATGCACCAGCTGTGTACTGAAACCCAGGGAGAGACAGAAGCTTTTGGAATTCCTGCCACAGTGCTCTTTCTGCCTGACTCTAGGACTGGTGGAAGAGGGCGGGGTCTGGGTCACCATGCTGAGACCCACCATGGGACCCTGGCTCTAGGAAGAGCTTGGTAAGAATGGGCAGGACTATAAGTGACCACATAGGTCACTAGAATATGGACCCAGTTCCCAGAACTGGGCAGAAGGTCTCAGCCAGGTTTGGAGGGCAGGGGTAGAGAAGCTTGGTTTTGAGCCCCAGGAATCTCCCCTATATAGAATGAGATTGGTTTTAGAGACTCAGAAATGATGGTTTTAGAGACTCAGAATGATGGGTTGACCTACAGAAAGGTTCCCTGAGAGCCACAACCTCAAACATAAAAATGGTCGATTGCTAGGGGCACCTGGGTGGCTCAGTCGGTGAGGCATCCGACTCTTGCTTTTGGCTCAGGGTCGTGATCTCAGGGCCGTAAAATCAAGCCCTGTGTTGGGCTCTGAGCTCAGTGGGAGTCGGCTTGGGATTCTCTTCCTCTCCCTCTGCCCCTCCCCCTGCTCTCTCTCTCTCTCTAAATTAAATAAATAAAATCTTTTAAAAAAAGACAAAAATCTATTAAAAAAAAAAAAAGAAGGTCAATTGGCTGCCCTCGCTGAACAGCCACCAAGCTCTCTGGATAAAAATGCTGCTGGGAATGATCAGGCAACAGTCTGATACTGCTTTTCTCCACCCTGTTTGAGATGGAACATATTTCACATGGTCTTTTTTCCCATCTTGCACACAAACACAATAATCTCAGACCATCTCTGAAGCCACTTTTTTTTCCCCAATATAGGAATGTCCTAATGATGCACCGAAGCCCTCTGAGTCTTGCCCTCTTTCCCTTCCTCACATTTTGTGGTAAACCCAGCTCGTTCACAGGTGATAAATGTCAGAAGGGAGCCAGACACCCATGCACAGAGGAAGAAGGAAGTAGTATGTGTTAAAAGTGAAATGGTGTTAACCAAGTATTTGAAAGCAACTCGTAATGTATTTGTTTGTGATATTTTTTTGTATTTGTTTTTGTGTTTGCTTATTTATAATTTATTGTTTATTTATTGTTTATACCCCCATTTTAGTGCAGAGAGGACTTAAATGTAGTCTATAAGAATACATTGCAATGAGT